ACATTTGCTGTTCTGATAGACAGCCTGCAGTTAGGCAAAACGTGTTTCATGTGTGACATCCCCTGCCACTGGGGACATTTTAAAAAAAAAAAAGTGTCTTTTTGGGTACAGCATCATACCTGGTTATGACACAGTATGTTTTGTACATCTTTCCCCAGGTTCTGATTGTTGATCTCTGTGCTGACAAGTTCTTGCAAGAGGTGAGTGAAATTACAGTACCTGTAACTCGTGGTTATATGCCAGGAAAGTGAAAGAAAATGAAATCAATTAGTGAAATCAGTGACAGCTATTATTCCTATGTAGATTCCAGTGGCTGAAGAAATAATCTTGTGTTCCTTTTTGATCAATAAAGAAAGGAACAGGCATACAAATCCTGAGCTGAATTTAAAAGCAGATACTTGGTTGGTTCATTATGTAAAGTGGACCACTGAGATTCTGTGCTGCTTTCTGTGTATTTTTCTCTACAGGGCTTTCTCCTCTCATCTAGCTCAAGTGTGTGTGTTGGTTTTGGTTTTTTTTTTTCCCTAGTGATAGTCTAGGAGACAAATTATCACAGTTCACTTGTGGTTCTCTGCTGAACTTTGCCTAATGTCCTCACCAGACAAGTAGCTATAAATGCTCTGGAGAATTACTAGTTCTGGAGGATATTTGTGTCTCCTTTTCCTTGCCTTACTGTTCTGTTTTGCTTTGCAGCCTGCAACTGGAGAAAGGTATTATAGGATCAGGGTTTTTTAACTGTAATGTTACAGTTAAAAACATGCTCATGTTTTCTCAGATACTTTTGTTGTCCTTGTGTGTTTTATTGCTGGTACAGTAAGCTTGAGTCTGTGTTGTGGATGTAGCACCCATTGTTCTGTGTTGGCCAGTTGGAGGGTGCTGAGCAAACCTTTCTGGTTTCTGTGGCTACAAGACAAATGTATTATCTCCACCACAATATACCATATCACAGAGTAACTTCCCTCTAGCTGCTTTAGGCATGTTACGAGTATTTCTCATCTATTCACAATGAAAAGCTTCTACTGATGATAGAACACAAGAATATCTTCAAGGCCATTTTTTTCTTTAGGTATCAGACGAAGATGAGATTCTGCCTCATAAACTCCAGGCTGCGCTTGTACAAGTCTTGGAAGAACGAAGTGAAATCTTGTCACATGAGCAGAGTGACCTACGAGGTACTTCTGTGGAAAAGTGTTTTCACGGTAGCAAATATCTACAGCTCTTGTGTAGTAGATACAAAAATGAGTGAAGGGAAATAAACATTAGGAAGTGAATTTTTAGAAAGCTATTTTCCTGTGATCTTACTGAGAACATCTTTCTGGTGAATGTGTTAGAAGTTTGGTGTCCTAACCATTGTTCCTCTTTTCACAATCAGTGTGTGTAGAGCTCGAGTTTGCATCAGGGCAAGTGCATCTGTTCCCACGCTTTGGGTTTTCTTTGAATTTTTGTAAGTGAAAGAGAGAACATTTTTTCTTTAACAGAATGTAGCAAGTTTCTGCATTCTGACAGACCGTTGAAAATGATTTAGAATGGAATCTGTCTCAGCTGCAGCAGAAAGTTGACATGGGAGAGAAATCTTAATATTAGAGCTGTGGTTTTCTCTGATATCAAACACTCATCTGAAATCTCATAGCCTGAGACAGGCAGCCTAAAAACTAAATGCTGCTCCTCTTTTAGAAAAGGAACGACCAAAGCGATGAACGTAGAGGGAAATTTCTCCTCTGTTGTCCTCCTCGCAGGTGACATGCCTCTGAACTCCCTGGTCTCTGAAGCTTTTGTGCAGTTCTTTGTGGAGATCGTTGGACACTACTCCCTGCACATGACTGTCACAGAGAAAGGGGAGCGGGTGTTCCAGCGGGAGCTGTTCCGTAAATCCCACGTGTCGCGCAACGTGCGTCACTTCTTGCACTTCTTTATGGAAACGCAGATGTTCGCAGGGTTCATACAGGACCGAGAACTAAGTAAGAACGTGGTCAAAGGTGAGGCTTCATCTTACTTTCTTGTTTTACAAACTCACTTTCAATATTATGTGACTTTGACTCCGAAGAAGATGCTCGTCCTGGCAAGTTCTCCTGTTGGCATTTTGGCACATGGAAGAGCTCCACGCCCTTCTAATTACTCAACAGAATTAATTTTATGTAGCAAAGAATTTTTGCTTCTCTCTCCTTCCTGGGCTCACATTCCACGCGTGATTCCCCTTTTGTAACCTCCTCGCTGATGATGTAAGATGCCACATGCTAAAAAATGGAATAGCTCACTTGGTGATTTTTTTTCTCCCCCCCTCTTTAGGCCTTTTTGAGGTCCGTGCCTTGCAGTATTTGGAGAGTATTTCAGAGACAGAACCAACCGGGATGAACAAAATCCTTCGCAGTCTGGGTAAAAGGACACCCTTGCTTTTTGTTTTTTTTTTTTAAATTTTAATAAATTTAGCTATTGAACAAGTAATTGCATGCAAAAGAGAGCAGGGCCCACTCTTTGCCTCATGCACTAGTGTTCCTTTTGTTTACATTTGCCCCTTCAGGGGATGCTGAACACTTTTTAAGATTTTACTTTTATTTTTAAGCTTTTACATCTTTACATAAAGCTTGTGGAAGCTGCCTCATCCTAGAGTTGTATAAACTTGTTTCTTAACGTTGCTCCACGACCTTCCCCGGCCCGGTGACTCCTCCAGCGCCTCATTTTGTGTTTTTTTTTCTTTTTTTCTCCGTAGGGAGCAAAATGAAATTTCTTCAGAAGAAATGACCGTGCGCTGCTGCGGGACAGCGGAGCGGCGGGG